AAAATCTGAGATTTGAGTTGAGTGTGGTGTTGCATTTCTGTAATCTCCCAGTGGCTCAGGAGACTGAGACAGGAGAATCGCAAGTTCAAAGCCAGCCTCAGCAATGGTGAGGTGCTAAGCAACTTAGTGAGATCCTGTCTCAAAATAAAAAATAAAAATGGCTGGGGATGTCGCTCAATTGTTAAGCTCCTCTGGGTTCAATCCTTGGTACACCCTCCCCCCCAATACCATAACTATTAACTTGCATTTCATGTTTTCATTATGTAGATAATTTGAAAAATACCCGCATATACAGACAAATACACAAACACACAGGCATAAAAACACACACACACACACACACACACACAAAACTATATAAAAATTTTGGTTATCTAGCTCAGTTTTCAGCATTCATTCCCAGTAATTTCAAGTGTCCACTGTGTGTCAGTACACTGTCAGTGTAAAACTAAATCTGTACTCAGTTTTGATTTTAAATCAGTTTTGTTAAACTGAATCACATTTGCTTTCAAAATGATCATGTTTCCAGAATACAGTGACAGAGATCAACTGTAGTTAACAAGTGAAAAGTACAATGTTAAGCCTAATAAGATAGAAGAAGGTATTAGTCACCACCACCACCATCCCACCTGACTCTTTCCCTTCTCTGATCTTTCTGAGTAATGTGTTTAGGGAATTAAATTGGCAAGAAAAATTTAGTGATATTAAATGATAATTTCATACTTGACAGGATAAAAAGTTAAATGTTTGAGTTCTGCATTTTAGACAATTTTTTAGGGAACAGAGAGAAAATGCATTATAACCAACAGTTGAGATTTCAAAATTGGTATTTGCCTAGGGTTCTCTTTTGGGAGTTTGGGTCCATTAAGTATGAAGTGGAGACCTACCATCCATATTCTGACAGTTCTACAAGAATGTTTACCTCTGAGCAGGAACCATTGTTTTAGAACAAAATATGTTTTCTCTAGGCTATTGAATTTGCCATGAATTGTTTAATTTTTGTCTCTAGCATTGAGAAATGGGTGTGATATCTGCGTACTTATGCTAGAATTATGATCTCTTTATTCTTTTCATATTATTTATATACTAAATATTCTGGTTTCAGGCTAAATTTACTGTGAAGAAATCAGAAGATGAAGAAGATTCCTCTAAAGACACTTATATTATTGAATGCCAAGGAATTGGGATGAGAAATCCAAATCTATAGGATATTTACCTCTTAAATGATACCTCAGTGATGTATTGCAGCACTAACTTATTTTATGTATACTACAAAACAGTGAATGTTATTAAAAGGCCTGACTAAATTTGGATATGAAATATGTTCTAAATTTACTGAGAATGCTTCATCAAATTAATCTTACTTTAAATATCTCCTGAGATATGGGCAATAAAATGTAAAAATTGATGGATATGTGTGATAGTCAATTTCAACATTAAATTATTAAAATATTCTTTATACCTGAAGTAAATGGTTTTCTGTATATAATTAAGTCAGAAATATAGCTTTGATCAGTAATTTGTGTTCCCAGTAGTCTCCTAATCCAGTTTCACTTTCTGAGATTTCAATTGCCTAGAGTTAGCCCTGGTCCAAAAATATTATATGGAAAATTCCAGACATAAATATTTCACCAATTTTAAATGGCACTTCCTTCTGAGTAGAATGATGAAATCTCATACCTTTTGCTGTCCTGATTGGGATGTGAATTATTTGTCTCTGTATTTATATTATATACACCACCTGCCTCTTAATTGCTTAGTAACTGTCTTGGTTATCAGATCAGCTATTATAATATTGGAATGCTTTTGTTCATGTAAACCTTATTTTACAGGATAATGGACCCAAGGTACAAGAGTAGGGATTCTGCCCATTTAGATATGCCAAAGAAAAGCTGTAAAGTTCTCCCTTTATATATCATCTCACACCATTGTAAGAGTATATACACTACAGTAAGAGAGAAACCACAATCACATAACTTTTATTTGAAAATACAATCAAGCATTGCTTAATAACAGGGAAACATTCTGGGAAATGTATTGGTAGGCAATTTCATTGTGCAAATGTCATAGATTGTACTTATACAAACACACATAGTATAGGTTAATCATTTGATGCAGCCTCTTGATGCAATAAAGACACATGGTAAATACAAATGTATGAAGCTGATATTAACACAGTATACTGTTTTTACAATAAACTTTATTTTATAACTAGAAGGAGAATAATGTAAAATATGGTATAAGTATTATCATTTTTTTCCCTTCTTAATACAGTGCCAAGGAGTTACACCAGGGCCTTACACATGCTAAGCAAGTGCTGTACCACAGAATTACAATCCACAGCTCTATTATCAAGGATTACATGCAGTACATAATTGTGCTATACTTTTTTATGTCTGACAGCACAGTAGGTTACCACCAGCATCACCACAAATATATGAATAATGCATTGCACTATAATGTTATGGATATGGTGAAAAGAACTTTATAATGGTTCAGATCTGTAATGATCTTAAGGGACCACTGTAATATATGCTGTCCCTAATTGGTCAAAATGTAATTGAGCAGTGCATCATCTATTGTTTTAATTGCTCTGATTTATTATTAGTTATTGTTGCTGATCTCTTACTGTGCCTAATTTATAAATTAAGCTTTATCATAGGTATGTTTGTATAGAAGGAAAAAAAAACATGTAAATATAGGATTTTGTACTATCTGCAGTTTCAGGCATTTACTGGGAGGAGTCTTTGAACTTGTCCCTCATGGTTATGGGGGGACTGTTGTGTTGTTTTAATCTCTTTGCTGAAATCATATGTAAAGTATAATGAGACAACTTTATATATAAGTGAACTGCTGTATTAATAATAATATTTATTTAAGAGGCATTGTCTCATCCCAATTATATATCCTTCTATCTAGTGGTCACTTGGTAAATGTTAAATTTCAATCTAATGAATATGTTTTGAAAGCCAACAATTAGAGTTGCAAATTTTAACCCTAGTGGTTTGGCCAATTTCAACCCAAGATGTTTTTTGTTTGGCTCATATTAAAAAATAATTGAGTAGCTTTAGAATGGACTGTGCTTTCATCACTCTATTATTTTATACACAGCCTGTTTCCACATTTTGATGATTTCCTGGTCCCTGTAGGCTGTTGAGGTTGTGACTCAAATGAAACCAGTGAGGTGTATCAGTTTAATACACTGAACAGTGAGGAAGGAATTCATTACAACTTGGGTCTGTCTTGGACCTTATCTGGTGAATAATTCAAATTTAGTTGAAGATGTAAATAAAGAAGATGGTATTATAACACATTCACGGCATCCTGAATTAGTCTGTATAGAAAAATATTTTTAAAAAAATTCCACGCGCACAGTTGTTATTCTTACGTTTGTCAGTGACTGCTATGGCCTTGAAAAGTTTAATTCAGTTTGTTTTAAAGATGATGACAGTACTATTACTTGATATTGATATTTTCACAAATTCGTAGGTTTATGAATTGCTCTTTTTTAACAGTTGAGATAAGAGGTATCTATATTTTTAGAGTAAACTTTTTTGGAGTAAAACTATACTTATGGTATAGTTATTAGGCTCTGTTAAATTTGGGGGTCTTCAGGCTGATGTGATCCTCACTGCTTCTGATGGGATATGCTAAAAATGTTGAAAAGGTAGGCTAGAATGCAGAGATTGGGGATCTGGGAGTGAGAGATTAAATTCAACAGTGTAATGGTGAGTGTATGTTTAATCTGGGGTTGGGTTTGTCACTGTTACTGAGTCTCAGCTTTGGTAAAACAAAGGTGGGACAACTGCAAAGAAAAATTTTAAGTCCCAAGTGACTTTAGTTTCTATTTTCCCAAACCGATTTCTATTTTTATTCTATATCTAAAATTCTATTTCAATAAGTTTGTTTTAGACCAACAAATATGAGTAGTTCTGTTGATATGACACAGTATGTTTGACAGTCTTTAAGAATTTTCTTTAAACTAGTGGCCTTCAAACACGGGTGTTCATACTTGGAGTTTCACAAAGCCTTTCTACAAGTTTCAGTTTGCTGATACCATGAGTTTAATTTAAAGAAGTGGTTTTCAAGTTTCTCTGCTTAAATATATATTTCCTTCTTGAGTTGCCTGAAGTCAAGGTAGAGCTTCCAGGTTCTCCTTTTTAACTATTCTCTTAACTATTCTTCCTCTTTACAAAAGAAAAGTTTATTTTTTTACCCAATCTGACTATGCTCTGTTACATTCCCACAGAGTCTTAAGAAAATCTCCAGGCCACTAAATAAGCAATTGGACATGTTAGTCTTTGAAAGCTTGTTCAAAGATATAAACTTGCATCTTGTTTTTAAATTTTGTATGATTTTAAATAAGGAAGAAAAAAGCTGCAGTGTTTACTTTTAACAGATCAATATTGCATTTTTAAATAGAACTTTTTTCCTGATGAGTAGAAATACTTTCATTAAGTTTGCCAAAAGGCTCATAGAATACTTAAATCTCTCTTTTTCTTTCTTCTTTTTTTTTTTTTTGTTTTGTTTTCACTTTGAAAGTTTACTGTTTAGTGTGAATTAAGTACTTGGCTTTCTATTCATCCCTACCATGTGAAATATGTTATAGTTTCTATAATCTATATTTTTAATGTTCTACAAATAATGCCTATAATCAGTAATATATATTTTTAAGAACTCTTCCTTACTTGGTAACCTTTTTGATATTGTTTTCCAATGAACCTTATCTCATTCCAACAATTAACAATAATCATTCATGATACATGATTTTATTTTGGGGAAAAAGCATCTATCTCTTATGACATATTTCCAGTAAAATTTTACTTTTTTATGTATAATATTTCAAATGAATTTTTATGCTCAGTTGTTTAGTAATATATTCTTCAGAAGAAACTAAAAGTTTTAAGAGTTGTGTTCAATGAAAAATTTTAAATGTAATGCAAATTAATGCATATTTTTATGTTAGAGAAATATGATGAAGTGAACCATTAAGCATAAAAATATATTAAAATAAATAGTGGAGAAGAGGAATGTATTTTTTCAGTTTCAGAAAGTAGATACAAAGAGCTATGGTGTTTAGATACCCTGTGGATAACTTTTAGAGTGGTGGAATAATTTTATTTTTAAATGGAAATATAAAACTAAAATTAGATATTTTGTTATAACTATTGAAACTTAAGATGAAAATTTTTATTTCAACTTAAAAATGTATAAGGATAGTAGTATTTTTAAATTTTAGGAGGTTTATGACCAGAAATATTTGAAGTCAACTGTATTCAATTAAATTTTTTTAAAGTAAAGCTACTAATTTAATATCCAGCTTTTCTACATATAGTACATCTAACTATCCAATAAATTTTCTGTGGTGATGGAAATTACTATTACTATATCTTAACTGTCCAATAAGGAACCCACTAGCCATATAGCTTTTGAACCTTGAAAAATGTCTAGTCTAATTGGGGAAGTTTAATTTTGGTTTTGATTAAATAGTTACATATGCTATTAGCTGCTATTTTGGACAATACTTATGTATTTTGTGCTGGGGGATGAGCCCAAGAACACTCTACCACTGAGCTATATACCCAACCCTTTTTATTTTTATTTTTTTATTTTGGGACAGTCTCTCACTAAGTTTCCTAGACTGGCCTTGAACTTATGATCCTTTTGCCTCAGCCTCCTGAGTTGCTGGGATTATAGCCATGAACCACATACCTGGCTTATTTTTTAATTTTATATTCTCTCTTACATTAAGTACTAAGAAGGAACATTTAAGGAAAATCACTTGGAGCCAACATTTGGAGTTTAGATGTGTCACCCTGGAGAAAACAGTGAACGTTTCCAGTATTTTTTCCACATTCTTGTTCTCTGAAGGAGGGAGAAGAGTTGTTAATCTAATTGGTGAGACTGCCTTCTGTGGTAGACCCCAACTGCTGCTGTTACAGCAGAGGAGGTAAGGATAAGCAGTTCCTCCCTTTCCCTGCTTATGCCCCTTTGTGAAAGGATGCTATTAAATGAGGGGATTTTTGAAACCTGTGATCCTTCAGGCAACTGACAGGGCAAGTTTGCTCAGTGTCTGTCTTGAAGTTTCTTCTCCCTCCCTGGAAGTTGTTAAGCCTAATTTTAAGGGAGGATAGGAGGTGGCTCTTCTTAAGCCTCAGGTCTCAGCTTTCTTGCTCCCCTGTCTCAAAAAATAAACAGTAAGATAAAAAAATAAATAAATAGGGCTAAGGATGTGGCTCAGTGGTTAAGCGTCCCTGAGTTCAATCCCTAGTACCAAAAAAGTAAAAATAAAAAAGAATAGTAGTGTAGGGAAATGATGATCTTTAGATGTTATCAGGTGGGTGGGGCAGGTCAGGACAGATGTCCAACCCACTGAGGATTGTCAAATCACTCCATTTTTTCTTCTGTTGTAGTATCACCTCTTTCTTCCCTGTTCTGACCCTAGCACAAATCTCCTATGTTCATAATTGGACAACAAAGTGGTAACCCTTCATTTAATATCTGTAAAGGTCAAGCACTGTACAGCACTATGCAGGCTGTCATGGGGAAGATAGAACCTCCTGGACCACCATGCAAGATGCAGTTATTTGAAACCATTGTTTGCCAAATATATGTAAAACATATACTGGCCTGTAAGAGTTTAAGAGGAATTGGAATTTGGGGGTAGAAACCCTGAGGCAACTATTTCCAACCCAAATGGATCCATCTTACCAAATCTTTCATGCGGCTTATTTTGAGTTTGTGCTATTTCAGTGGTCCCCGAAGCATATTGGTCCCCCAAAACATATTTCAGTATGATGTATGTTCTTAAATCAGGGTTTAGTCAGGAAAAATAGGAACCACATTTGGTATTGCAAAGAAAGTTGAGCTTATTCAGAAAACTCACTAATAGTTGTTGGAAAGCTAACAATAAAGAACAAAGAGAAGACACTGAGGTAACCAGAGATTAATAAGTTATAGAAGTGGTTAACATCCTAGGAATGGGGAAATAAAAGGTAAGAGTGTGATTACCAGAACCTAGCAGTTTGAAGGAGGGGCACTTTGGGACTACAATCAGATTTCTCAGCAAGGGACACTTTTCAGCTGGTGATCTGACCTTATAGCATTGTAGTTAATACACATACTAGTAAGGGGAGGTACAACCTCATAGATTCCAGTGGCTTGGCACAGCAGGTGAAGGAGCACAGTGAGCTAACATTTCAACTGCTGAGAGGGGCACAGCGAAGGTGTGTGGCAGGGTCAGTGACAGAACTGAAAGAAGCCAGTCTGCTGCAGCTGCTGAAACAATCCTGAAGGAAAGGTATTTTCCCTTCCTCCGCTTTCTAAGTTAATTTTCCCTAACTAAGATTGCTCAGAAGTTGCTCTTACCATGATTTCAGTTCTGTTATTTTCAAACCACTTAGGCACAGATTATTGCAGTCTCACCAGTGATATTCTCTATAATATCAGTAATTTTCAAATATCTTTGGGGAAATATAAAATCCCAGCTTGGGGATATAACTCGGTGGTAAAGCATTTGTCTTGTACACCTAAGTATACCTAACGCCTTGTTGGGTTTGATACCCAAGACAAAAAAAAAAAAAAAAAGGTAAAATCCAGCCCATTCTACCCTCAGGAAATTCTGAATGGAAAATTCTGGGTGGGACCTGTTTTCCAAAGGACCCTCCCAAGTAACTTGGGTTTGGGTGGTCCATATAACACTGCTCTACATTTACAGGTGGCTCCAAGAAGGCTGGGAAAAACTGAGGAAGAATTCAAGTAAGACTAGGGAAGAAACAGGTGCAAGTTGTTGTTCTGTTGTGAATAGAATCCAATTCCAGAAACACAAGTTGAAAGACTACCCAAAATCTTTTTTGCCTTTGCTTAACATTGATTCAAAATGTAGCACGTCACTGCACTCACATTACCAACCTAGGTATGCAGAACAGCTCTCTATCTGCATGAGAAAGGCCACACAACATAATGGATGCTGGTATCAGATTGCTCTTCCAGGACCATATCACAGCTGCCTCCAAAGCCTGCAGAAACAAATAGATGAATACAAGCTTCCCCGCTTCTTAGTTGTCTAGGTAA